TAAATGTTTCTTACATAAAGACACATTGAGAACATATCGGGGAAATCCTTGGATGAAGTGTCTTGCCTTGAAGAATCATTGAGATTTTGACAAGAGAGAATGGAGAGTTATGGGAGGAGTAGTTATGGAGTTATGGAGAGACTTTCTAGGCCAGGCTAATGGGTGAGCATGGCTATGTGGGAGGTGAGTAGGAATGGGCTGGTCATGAGTTCACTTTGGTGATCCTGGGAATCACTGGAATGCAGAAGTTTTGAATCCCAAGTTGAAGGGTTGGAGTTTTACTCAAAGTTGGGAGGAAGCAAGCATTTTATATGAACTGATCTGTTGAGACTATCTAAAAATCAATCAGGAAATGGGGAGTGATGGGAAGTGATGTGGTTCAGCCAGTTAAGGTGTCTGCTGCAGAGCCTGAAGACCTGAGTTTCATCCTTGGGACCTATGTGGTGTATAGAAAGAGATCAGAAGATTCTTCTGATCTCCACAGCAGGTACACACACACACACACACACACACACACACACACACACACAAAGAGACTAATAAATGTCAAACAATTAAACCAAGTGGAAGAATTCAAAGTTGGATATAAATTCTAAATCAAGTTTTCTAAGAAGAGTGTGAAAATGAGTCTATATGTCAGATAATAAAATAAAGTGTAACCACATAGCATATGTTATTGATCAGATAATTCACACCACATTTCTGCTTTGTTACACTCTTTTCTCTCTTCCCATCTGGCTAAAAAGCCTAAGAACTTTGCGTGGATAGTCACAGCTTATGCAAGGAACATTGCCTCTCACAGATGGCACTTCATTAATTACAGCTTGCAACAAATAGTTTTCTCGACAAGATTGTTGTCTGTCTACACATGCAGGATGACTAGTCATGCAATGTTTCTATATTTCATTGGGAATTGTGGAGAAAGAAAATACTAATATTTACTCCTACAGTGTTTCTTACAACAATCTACGTAATGTGTAGGGCTATGGTCATTCTGACAAGTGTGAAGTTGCGAACCACTGTGCTAAATGGTTCCTAAAAGCTCTTTCACCTCTAAATCCCTTAAAAGTCACCATTGAAGCTCCTTTGGGAAGAAGTAGAGATAACCTATGTCCCTGTAGCTGTTAAAACACTTACTTATCTGTCAATATAACTGCAATGAGAAGTCTGGTGGACAAGTCCAACACATGCCTCAAGTCCCTTAGAACAGTGTTTTAAACTAAAGACTCCAGTCTATTTGTGGGTCTTTTGTAAGACATTTGTAGAGAGAGAACATCGCAATAGTGTTTAACATGAATTATGCACCTGCTGTATATAATTTCACAACTCTATTAGTTATCCATTATGATTCCCAAGTTAAAATTGTACTTATTAAACTAGCCAGGGAAGGGAGACACCTGTGCTTGGAACCATTCTTATTCAGTAATACTGACCATATCTTAGGCATACTACACACAGTAAGGGAGTGAGCCTTAAGCATGTGCATCAGCTTGCAAAAGGAGGTAAATGATGCTGATGCTCTGTCATAGAAATGGACTATGTTGCTCAACTCCTCATTCTGACCCTCCCAACCTTAGAGTGGGCTTGCTTTCATCTGATAGTCCCTGACAGAATTTGAAGCAGAAAGAAAAATCCCTCAAGGTCTTTGAGTGCAAAGAACTCATATTCTTAGTACTGTTCTCTGATCGTAACAAGGCTTCCTAGGGTTATATCCTTGAAGCTCATTAAAAAGCATTTCTTTTAAGTCTCCAGTGACCTTCACAAGCAGGAGCAGGTGAGGACAGAGCTGGAAAAAATCTGAAGCATACAGGTCACCCTCCAAAGACTCCACTCTATGCATGGAATTTGAAGCGAGAGCTTTCTGCTTTTTCTGTTTAAAATAACATGTGAATGTTGCAATTAACCCCAAAGAAATGTGTATTTATTTTACCATTAAACATGTTTCCCATATCCTCATGTATAGCAGCTGGTCTGGGACAGGGGCTAATATTTTAGCTTGTGCTTTTCCCAGTGGTGTCCACATGTTTCAGCTGTAGGCAGAAAAAACAAATTCTGATCTCCCTCTGCTCCATTGGTGCCTACCTGCCTTTCCTCTTGCACAGGTGTGGGGCTTCAACTTGACCTGAATGAAGCCATCTTGAGTCATAAGAACCATGACCATGCTGAGTGACTCTGGCTAACTTTCTCCAATTGACCCCTAGCATCTATAAATAGAGTGGTCTACAGAGTTTTATGACCAAGTTTCTAGACTCATCAGCACAAGGAATGTGTCCAGTGCCCTTGGTATTAGCTGGAGATAAATCAGCACCATCTTGGCTTGGATGAAATCCTATGCTGGCCATTATATCTTACTCCTCCTTCTGATCCAGTTTGTGAGAATTCACCTGTCTTGCTATTCAAGATACTTTTCTTTACCTAAGTGCCTAATAAATTATACTCTGTGTAATCCTGGGTTTGTCTACCTCTTTCTTTGGCTTTGTTGCATCTTGAAGCTGGTTTGCATGCTTTTACTTGAACACCAGGGCCCAGATTCCTACCCTGGCACCACCTAGAAGCACCTTCTGTTCTGTTCCCTTTCCAAAATTTGCCCAGTCTGTTTCCTTCCACAATGATTGTGCCAACCCACTGTCTAATCATGATAGTTTATTTCTTCCTTTCAAGGAAAAGATTTTAGTGTTTTCATATAAGATCCTAGGTGTCATGACAGACTTACAGGAAAGAGATCTGGGAACAAGATACTGTGCGTCATGTCACCCCTGAATACACACCATGCCTTGTAAAGACACAACTCTTGGCAAATCTAGTCTTAGAGGTAAAGTTATCATAGCAGAAAGTTGTGGAACCTGTCTTGATGGTTTTGTTTGTTTTGCTCAGCTTGATACAAAGTACAGTTATCTGAAAAAAAGAGACCCCAATTGAGAAAATGCCTCCATCAGATTGCCGGAAGGCAAGTCTGTACTCATTCTCTTCATTAATGATTGATGTAAGAAGGCCCCACCCTACACTACTGTGTGTGGTGCCACCCCTGGGCAGATGGGCCTGAGTTGTATAAGAAAGCAGTCTGAGGAAGCCATGAGGAACAAGCCAGTAAGCAGCATCCTCCATGGTCATTACCTCAGTTCCTGTCTCCAGGTTCCTGCCTTGAGCTCCTGCCCTGACTTCCTTCCATGATGGACTGTGATGTGACACTGTAAGCTGAAATCAGCGCTTTCCAAACCAATTCGCCTTCAGTCATGGTGTCTTTATCATAACAGTAGAAACCAAACTAAGACAAAATCTAATTCTAAATAGCTTTTCCAAGCTTTCATCACGGGGCTGCTTAGTGCTATACTCAGTGAGATTTAATTTTTAAGTCTGTGGGGGCAGGACTGGAGGGGGTGGTGGGGGGTGACGATAAAGAAAAGTTGGCCTAAGCCTGTGCTGGTCTCCAGGCTCCTGGGAGTCCAGAAGAGTGTGTCTATACTTGGGTTACCCTTTGAGTAAGGCCATTGAGATTTGAGGCTGTTTCCAGTATATCCTGCTAAAACTCTCAGGATCCGTTTTCCATAAGTAAAAGTGTTAATTACGTTTTCAAAGCTGCAAACCCCACACAATGTTTTTGGAAGGCGGTGGGAGGATGAGTGAGTGTTTGGAGACACTTTCTTTGCTGGCTTGGCGCCCACATCCATTGCTGCCCACATGGTGCCAGGCAGATGACACCTTTGAGGGGTGTGTGTGTGTGTGTGTGTGTGTGTGTGTGTACCTTGAGTAGGTGTGTGGATGGTGGAGAGAATCATTTTCCTTCTCTTGAAATTAGATGTTTATCTGGAGATATCTCAAGGTCGCTATGTAAATACCACTCAGAAGATGACAATCTCTCCTCTGTTTTAATACAGGGATAACTGATGTTCATGGGATTAAATATGTGCATCAGTCTGCCACCTGGAGCAGACATGCATGTGGAAGGAATGCAGCCCCTGAATCAAATGCACACTTTTTCAACATGTCCCTGTTCCTACCCTCTGGCTAATGGGGACAGAGCAGCAAAGTCACTGGCTGCACAACACGCATCTCATTCTGTCATAGATGGTGTGTGCTAGGACTGCGTGACAGAGTTAAGTAGCTGCGACCCTAGAGAAGAGTCAGAGAACATTTCCATCAGTGTCTCCCGGACCGGAAGTTACATAAGTTCTTGTAGTGTCATATTAGTGCCTTTTTTTATTATTATTATGTAAGAGGCATGCTCAGTTAAAGGCTATATTTAGTATTGATAACCTGTCCCTGTTTTACCCGTCAACGCTGCGTTTACCATGTGTGCTAATTAGTTTCTTTCATTTGTTTGTTTTTTGTCAACTTGATACAAACTAGGAAGAGGAAACTCAGTTGAGGAAATGTCTTCATCCAATTTGGCTTCTAGGGCATTTTCATGATTAAATGGTTGATGTGGAAGGCCTCGCCACTGTTGGTGGAGCCACTCCTGGGCAGGTGGTCCTGGGTGGTATAAGAAAGTAAGCCAAACAAGCCATGATGAGAAAGTAAAGTGTCCTCTGTGGCTTTTGCTCAGTACCCACCCCATGTTCCTACCCTACTTGGGTTCCTGCCTTGGCTTTCCTCAATGGTGGAGGATGTGATGGAGAGGTGTAACTTACAAGTAAACCCTTTCTGTCCCAAGTTGCTTTGAGCCATGGTGTTTTTATCACAGCAACAGAAATCAAACTGAGATATCATGTGACATGCCCAGTACTTTAATTTCACCTTATTTGTGTCTTTCAGAACACCCATTTGGTGTTGCTATTGTTGACAATGCTCATTTACAATTACCATGTGATTGCTAATTGGATCGCTAGCCCTCTTCATCTATATAACATCCGGCTATGGATTTTCAATCTAACCTCACACTGGTTATTTACATAGTCTCTGTAAGAGAGCCTTTGGGTGTTTGTTTTTGGTTTGGTTTTGTCTGACTTATGACACTTCATTCTGTTTACTATTCAAAAAGCCTGTAGCCCTCCTATTTTTTTGTCTACTACACATACGCCAACCTAAAACATCATAGCAGATACATCGTTTTAAAGGATACTGATTTGTGCAGTAAATAAAATTACATATGTGTACATGTACAACATCCAGCTTGGCACTTTGCCGTCAGCATGTGTGGAAACATCTGATTCCTCCTCTTCTCCCACTCCTCACAATGGTCCAAGCCTTTAATAACCTTCCATTCTGTAGTGTCACAGCACCAGAGAATCCTGAATGGTATCGTTTTGCCTTAGCATCATTTCATTTGGGGAGTTCACCTCTCTGGAAGCAAGAATCTGGATGTCATCAGCAGGAACGGACTCCCTCCAGGGGCTCTCAGGAATAAGCCTTTCCCCTCTGTTCCTGGCTCGCGGACAGTCTTATCTTCTTTGACCTGGCTGCATCTTTCTTGTCTCAGCCTTTGTCGTCACCTGCTCCCCTCCCCTCTGGGATCTGTATGTCCTGCCCTTAGCTTCTAGGAACACCAGCCATAGACGTGGTTTGGATATGGTTTGGCTGTGGCTCCCAAACGTCTGGGTGCGGGAAACATGGTGTCTGGTGTGGCAGTCTTGATGGAGTAGA